CAATTGTTAGGCTATACATATTGCCCTTTCTCATATAGACGTACACACCAAGAACATTTTCAATGACCCATTTCCTATAAGAATCTTCGAAGACCAAGAGTGACTCCTCTATGGACAATAATATGTCTGCCTCTTGTGCACTGTCTCGTTCCCTTCAGAAGACAGTCGATATGTCGGTCACGCCATCAATACAGGCACCGGGGCTCTCTCTGTTTTGTAATGCTCAAGGCACAAAGAAGATCACAGATTCCAGTAACCAGTGGCAACAGGCTTTTCTGTGATGCCTTGACATACAGGAGGTCACGAACTCGAAGAAGAATAGACCTGGTGGCACCCAGCGGCATACCGCCATAGAAAGTGGAAGCCGAGGTCACGCTTCCCAACATGGGAGTTCCAGACCCCAAAATTATCCATCTCTGTATTACAGGGGAGTCTGGTCCGTCAATCTGGAAATTGCCTCCCGACCCTAGACCACTAGAGAGGTTGCTCGAAGAGGGCATTTGGGCCATAGTCCCATATATACATAGACACAGACTAGCTTGGTAAGCTCCGACCGCAAAGAACTCTGTGAAGCTCTGGGCATTGAGATGGTGTAGATACCGAATAAATTGGCTTGCATGCCATACTGCCTTCCGTGCCTGACTGCTTTGGCACCATCGTTCCAAGAGTGGCAATACAGCTTCGGCTTCTTCGGGTCCTTCGCGGCCAGCAATTATTTCGATTTGCTCAAAGGGAGTCAGAGAATGCATGGAGATCAATTCGGCTGTTAATTGGCTGCTGTGATGATCACCTGGCTGGCTGTCGTCGTGGAGTATGCGGATGCTGTTCAGGAGCTGAGCTACCCGGTTTTGGAAGCTCTCATCTGCAAGGAGGAAGTCTCCAGGTGTATCCAAGATTCCTGGAAGCAGAAGTCCTTTCGACTGGAGGTGATCTTTGACCATGGAGCCGACGGCATGAAGGACGATCAAGCGTGCTAAATTGGAATCGTAAAGTGGTGAAATGGTCTGCAGGAGAGACGGGTTGGCGAGATACTCCCGAAGGCCCGCCTGTTGAAATGTCTTCTCGAAACTCTGCATCTGGATATATGTTCTGAGCCATTGCGCTGCGGTCTTCGCTGCCCAAAGCTTCCCGCTTTGGGGAAATGAAAGACAGAGCTCGGCGTAGGAGACAGGAGTTCTACTCCCAGTTACCAAGGACTCTTGCGAGCAATGAATATGCATGTGGAACACCAATCTAGCCGGTATATCCACACTTTAGTCTGACTGGACACTATGACATGATAATGGGAACTCACCTTTTCCAGGATTCCTGCTCAACCCAATGATGCCATTTGCTCTCGAGTACATCGTCAGTGTCTGCCGGATCTGGGATCACACTAGTATAGGTCGAAGCACGGTAGCGACGGCCACTTCGGAGCATCTCCATGCGCGTTAGAAGGCATACAGTTGAATACTGGGGCTCATAGGCTCACGGTGACAGCCGATCCTACAATAGCTGCGGCAATTTCCATCCTGCGTTTATTGCCACTCCATAGCCCTGTCTGGACATACAGAGCAAGCGCCTGGATTTGCTGCAAGCAGCGGGTTTGTGCTATTCGTTTCTCGAACTATCGCCCTTGGTTATTTCCCCTATGCATGTGAAGCTGGAAAGCTGCCAGTCTTACAATCTGGAATAAATATGGATGGAGGACACCGTGTAGGGCAGTTCCGAACCGGCGAACAGCCGCACTGGACGATCTCATAGCTGCCGACGTGATAAAAGCGCCCAGAAGCTCTGTCGGCATCTCACTTGAGCGTAGAGTCGGAATATGAATCCAGCTGTCATCGTCAGTTGTATGAGTCGCATAAAAGCGATGTAGGAGTCGATCAAGCACATTCGCTGCTGGAAAGGCGGAGACCACTTTGATCATATTCGCTGGCTCACAGGTGTGCAGTATCATGGCCAAGATCCGATCGCGTGTATCGGACGAGACTGTATCGTCAGACATGCGAGCGGAAGGATATGCTAGGTGATTTTCTATACAGCTGGATTCTGGATCGAGAAACAGATTGCCTTCCTCGGCAGCACGGTGATACTCTGGGTCTGGATCCCATCGCCCTACTGTGTTTTCATAGGCCTCTAGCACCTTCGGGGAATTACTCTGGCCTTTGAATGTGTGGGAGAAGGGAACATCAGATGTAATGGATGATAAATCTAAACCTGCCGCTCCGACGATATGGGAAGCCATGCGAAGAATATTAGACGAATTCTGTAGAATCTGTCTGTTCTGTGGTGATCCCTCGACCATAAGTTCTGCTAGATCGTCTATGCCATCAAGGGTGCCCATCGCTAACCCAATGATTAGAGGACATCTCAAAAGACAAGCTGTACTCCCAGAGAGCGAACACTGATCGTACCTGAGTCGGACCCCGCCCTAGGCAAGTCTGGCGTTATATTGGCATCCGGTGCCCGAATGGGCGTCTGATGTGAAACGCCGGAATGTGCGGTATGATCTGCTTGGGGGTAAACAGCATTCCCAGGAACTTGGGTTTCATCTTCTGCTAGAGGCCAGGGTCGAACACAAGACATCTGTCGCTGGTGGCATCGCTGGCAAATCTCGTTATTATCGCATCGAGCTTTGGCAGTTGCACAGGCCTCACAGGCTTGTGAAGCACGCGGGCCCCGACGGCGGACTCTAGGTGATCTGTTCATTCTAGTCCTGGAGACAGATTCTGAAGAGTGGAACATTAGAGCTAGACAATTGCTGGGGGAGTGGGGTCGGAAGTAGTACTATCACTTATTATCTTTTGAGGATAGTCCGGGAAAGCTTCAAATTGGGTAAGATTGCGGGGTTCTGCATGGCGGTACGTGGCCTTCACGAAAAACACATTTTAGTGTTGACCAGCACGCTAGCGCACGGCTTGATCGCCCAGGAAGGATATACCGAATACGTAGTTGCTCGAGTGTATCCGCCGGAGGAGTCATTAACCGTCATCCAAGCACCCATCACACGTTACCTTAGGCCCAGAACAGAGATGTCACAACCAATTGTGATTGGTATTGTCGATTAGTGAACCTCCCTCTCTAATGACATAAATCACTACAGGCGAAGGCCTTGAAACATGTGACAACAATTTTCTCGACAAGTCAAGGAGATGAACCATGCACTCTTGCCCCTCATCGGATATGTGGAGATGAGAGCAACAACTTCCCGGCATTAGACTAGTTGCTGGGCTACTGTACGCTACTGACCTGGCGGCAGGTAGCGTTTCCGTGCATATATTTCCGATAAACGTGCAGCACAAATGAATTTGACTGAATATATATATGTGTGTGTTGCACTTGCTCGTAGATAACTATTTCTTCCATCGCCGCCACCCCCTCACTGGGACTAGACACGTATGTTGCCAATATTTGCATCCGTTCAGGAACTAGTGAATTTATCATCCATCAACATGAGGGTTCCAACGGTTTTCATACAAACTAGGCTGGCGAGACAGTTCCTCCCCCAGTGAGATTAAAAGTCCGTCTTGCCAGCGGCTTGTTTGCGGGAGCATCAGCGTCATATGTGACGGAGAAACCGTTGCTGTTGACATTGCCAAAGGACATGTCTGCGTTGGTAAAGTTCTTTAGCGCAGTATCCCCTGTAAGATTCCAACTGCTTGTCTTATCGAGGTACACGGCCAGCTCCGCTTCTCCATATCCGACATAAGCTCGCCCACTCCAATGTGAATGTCGTTCAAGGGAGAATTCCAGTGTGCTTCCATTGTATGCAACTAGATCGCCTTCCAGAGTACTCTCTTCGACGTAAATGCGACTATCAGCGGTAGCGACTATATCCCCGGAAGTTGCATAGTCAGAATAGAAGTTAAAAGCCTCAGTGATCGTTGAAAAATTAGCCACGGCAAGTATTCCTGACTCGGTGATAATCTGACTGTTGCGGATGTAGCTGTCGGCATAGACCGTTCCGTACCAGAGTCCCGGTGCATCGCCTAGAACCTTCAATCTCGTGTTCTCCAGAGTAAACTGAAATGGATATGCCTGGGTATCCTTGGAGATGCTAAATATGACTGCCCCACCCAAAAGTCCAGCAGTGAGGTCGCAGTCCGTAGCAACGGCATGGCCTTCACCGATAGTGAAGAAGGCGGGCGACTGCTCGGCATACCCGACTACATTGGTTAGGTTCGCATGTTTGACTGCAAAGACAATAGCCGATCCAATTCCGGTAGTATGAGCGATCGAGTCCTCTACATAGAGGTATCCAGCTGGAGTATCCCCGGAAAACGAAGAGCAGCGGTTCCCACCACTAAAATGGTGCACATTTCTCGCCCGGAATGTTCCATTGCCGGCAGCATACAACCCATGCGCTGTTGGCCCCGAACTATACAGCCAGGCGTTATCAATATAGGCCACGGAGTCGGTGCCGTAGGCGTAAACATTTGCCGCACCATTGTGTGTTGTGATGTTGACGTCCGTCAAACGCAGCTGGCTGTTGTTTGCGACGAGCACGGCTGAGTTTACGCCATAAAAGCTGGCCTGGATGAGGTTGCTGGAATAGCCAAATTTCACAACCTCCGTATGGTCGACATACACATTGGCGTGCTCTGTCGCGACCAGGACGCTTGTGTCGTTGCCGCTGACAGCCAGCGTAGTATGGTTAAATCGCTTTTCCTGCCCACGCACCATGTAGGGGCCAACTTGGGCAATTCTTTGCACTGCCTCGGTGCTTACGTTGTAATCGGCAAGAATGGCGTTGTCAGATTCCCATTGGAACGCAGGTATAATGTCCCCAGGGTCTCTGATGGTGATTGCGGCCATGGCCGCCCCGATGAAATGGAGAACCGAGTAGGGTTTCATCTTGATGGGGATATGTCTGGATGGATAGAAGTAGGCCTGATGTGGAAACCTTCGCACAAGCGACAGTGTCTTTACTTCGGATGATGATTTATTTAAGTTGTGGCTCAGCTTTGAAATGTGGGTTACATAGTTGATCCGCCGTAGCGCTCTCCCGGCATGCCGGTGCTCATTCGGAGAGACTAAAAAGGTTCTGATCGAGATGATCGGCTCCACTTTAAGTGAGGATCTCAAATCTTTGAGGTCGAGGCCCAAACTAGTTCTCTATACTAATCGTTTCTGACCTGATAATCATATTTATGTAGGCCCCTTTTTCGTGATCCAGAACACCCAACACCAAGGCCATTTGTCATCATGCTTAACAAGTGGCCTTTCGTGTTCAAAGGGTGTAATTATCTGAATAGTACATTGGTCTACAACGACATGCACATAAAACGTCCGAATTTCATGCAAAGAATTATCTCGGCCACTATAACGTACACCCAGTCAATGTTTGATTATATGACTAATTCTAGTCTAAAATACAGGTGTAGATTCATGATCTACCTGAAACCCTTCTCCACGAAGGACGCGACTCGACTCTCTCCCACCAAGCCCGCAAGTACTTTCTTGACTCTAGCTCAGCCCACAATCCAATTTCATCCATGAAAGCAGTCCACGGCATATGATAAACATCCACCAGGGAAAATGTCTAGCCGATATTATTAGCGGCTTTACAATGCGCTTATATGGTTATCATCATACCGTTCCTCCCAGATAATCCTGTTTTTCCAAGATGCCTTCGTAGTAATCGAGACACTTCCGTATCTGATCCTTGTAGAGAGACACTAAACTGGCGTCGGGCTCGCCGTGGCCCATCATACTTTTGACTCTGAATTAGAACTAACATATCAATCAAACGGACTCAACCAATCAACCAACCTTTTAAACAGACTCTCATAGGCCAACTGCTTCACCGGTGGATCAAAGTACGAGTACTCAACACTCGCCGCCTGTTGGAACTCGGCGATCTGTACAGAATTAGACGGCGGTATCAGATGTCCGCCGTGTTTGACTGCGAGATAGTGACAGATAGCGCGTGATTCGAAGATCTTAACGTTTGTGTCTTGGTATGCTGGGATGTATCCGAACGGGTTGTGCTCAGATAGATACGAGGGGCTCTTTCAGTAATCAGAATCATTACAGCAAGCTGGTAAGCTGGTTCAAAGCCATACCTTATGCTCACCGGCACGCATGTCAATTGAGATGAGTTCATAGTCGATTCCTAGCTCCTCCAGGACTATGAGAACCCGCTGGGTACAAGTCGAGGATACTGATCCGTAGATCTTGGGAGTTAGAGACATCTTGCACGGGGAAGGCTAATGCTCTGTTTGATAAAAATTGGCCGAGTCAATTGAAAAAAAAACCCCGTAATCGATCGTGCGGGAGGATATGCAGTTTTCCTTTCGGCTGCCTGCTCTGCTCGGCTCCAAAATCAACGGCATTCCGGAAGTCGACGGCATGCCGGCCGCGATGCACACCATCTTCTCAGCCATATCGAGCGTCATTGCTCTCTCAGAGTTCCCGTTTCGGCTCCACGGACGTAAAGCAAAATGCGTGTTGATTGAACAACCGAATACAATCCAGCCGGAAATATAAACCCTCGGTCGACGTATTAACACTCATCAAATGAAACTATTGGACAACATTCACGGATTTCGACACATGATTGCACAAACACTGACAATGAATCCTAAGTTCACCCAAACCGATGAAACAGTCCTTCGGGGACCACGAAGAACAGAGTTCGACTTTTCCGATTTTGATCATTCAGGAATTCCCCTAGAAGAGGAAGAATGGCCGGTCGTTATTATTGGATCGAGCATGGTAGGAATGGCACTAGGAATTCTACTGGGATATTGGGGGTATGCCTCCTCCTTCCATGGAACTGTCTTCTTTCTTTTACTATCTATCTAACTCGCTCAAAGTATAGAATCGGTGGCCTTCGACCGACACCCCTCAACGGCCACGCACCCTCGCGCGGCCCTCTTCCTCCTCCGTACAATGGAAATCTTCCGACAACTTGGACTAGAAGAGGATATGCTTCGCGCCAGCAAATCCAATTTTGATCTGGATGCAGGGATGCTTCTGGTGGAGCGGTTGATTGGCGGGAAGGTCATCGCCAAAATGCAGGAGGCAGATCCGGAACAGACAGCCAAGATCACGCCTTGCAAGCGAGTATGGCTAACGCAGAACATGTTCGAGCCTTTACTCCGGAGAGAAGCCCATAGATTCGGCGCGAAACAAGTTTTCTCGACTAGGGTCGTGCATTACGATGAGCATGACGACAGTGTGATTGTGGTTGTGCAGAACCTCACCACAGGGAAATATTCCAAGTACAAGACTCAGTACTTGGTCGCGTGTGATGGAAATCGTAGCCCGACACGTCGCAAGGAAGGCATCGAGTGGATAGGGCCAGGAACATTCAGCAACAATATCTCTATCAACTTCAGGGCAGATCTAACTCCTTACTTGGGTTCCCGGGCAGTGCATGGAGTGACATATGTGGTCAATAAGGACGTTAGTGGAGGATTTCGTCTGGAAGATGGAGGCAAGCGTGGCTTTTTGATCGTGTCTCGTCTGCATGATAGACACGACTTCGAGCCGGACTCCGTCACAGAGCAGGATGCGAGAGATGCCTTTTTTGCGGCATCCGGAATACAGGAAGATATCTCCCTCGACATCGACTTTGTTTCTTACTGGAGTGTAGCTGCTCTCAATTGCACTCAATACGCGAGCCAAAGGGGGCGTGTGTTTCTTGCCGGAGATGCAGCTCACATTATGCCCCCGACAGGAGGGATGGGTGGGAACACGGGCATACAGGACGCATATAATCTTGCGTGGAAGCTCGCGTATGTGCTCAAAGGGCTGGCCGACGCTTCGCTGTTGAAAACATACACCATAGAGCGCCAACCCGCTGCAGAAAGCACGATGCAGCAGGCATTCTCCCGTCTTGTCAACAGAGTCCTGGAGGACAAAGCTGTTGTGCACGATGAAGAACTCCCAGATGAAGTATGTGAACTGGGGTATTGCTACCGGACTGGAGCTTTTGACTTCGGCAACGGGAAGGATAAGGGAACTCCTAAGGCGTGGGATAATCCTCACAAACCCAATCCTGTGACTGGCTCACGTCTTCCCCATATCAATCTTATTGATCGTACGAGAAATGACAAAGCTATATCATCCCTTGACCTCGTCCGCGTCCATTTTATCTTGCTAACCGCGGACTCTTCATCACCGTGGCTTCCGGCAGCTGCCGCGCAGGCTGTAACCGTTGATGCGTTTGAACTCTCGCAGACCTCCAACCTAATCGCCGACCCAGACGGTCGCTTCGGAATGTTATGCAGTATGGATGATGGAGAGGCTATACTGGTTCGACCTGACGGGTTAATCGCTTGGCGCGGCAAGGCATCTTGTGAAGGACACTCGGAGACCCTTGCGGCGGTTTTGAGTAAAATCTTAGGATTACGCAGATAGGAAGGTGTGAAAAAAGCGCATCAGGAGTTACGAATAGCTATATTTGGGAAACATATGATTCCATTACATCAGACTAAATAGTATTCACACCTGCCCACTTGATCATGACGGTCGAAGTTTCCCTCCACCTTGAAGTTCGTAGGTCTCTCCCTTCCAAGCAGCATTTACCAATGAATCCGAGTCATACAGGATATTGAAACCATTACTGAAAACATTTGCGAGCGTACTATTGGAGTTAGCGAAGCTTTGAAGGACTGAGTCCCCCGTCAATGTCCATGTCGATGTGTTGTCCAATGACACGGACAAGTAGGCCGCTCCTAATCCCACCTTTGCCATGCCAGTCCAATGCGAGAAACTCTGAAGATTGAAGCTGATTGACGATTCGTTGTATGCAACAAGTGTTCCCGATAGCGTAGAATCCTTAACATTGATAGTTGCCTGTGCAGGGGATAGGTTGTTGTTTTCTTCATAGCCGGCATAGTAGTCAAAATCCTGAGTCAGAAAGGAGTAGTTTGAAACAGCGAGGATACCCGAAGAGGTATTAATGCTCGCTGCGATGAGATCGACAGTTGCGATGATATTTCCAAACCATAGCCCTGGATTCCCTTCACCGAGGACAGTCAATCGAGTGTTGTCGAGAACAACAGTGGTGCCATTCCTGATAGTCGAGTCAGATATCATGACAATACCACCTAACAGACCAGCTGTTAGATCAGAGTTTTTCCAGATGCCCATAACATCGGATAATGCACCGTCACTGATCATGGCAGGGGATTTGGCAGCGTAACCGACAACATTTGTCATGTTGCACAGACCCTGTAGAAAGCAGATAGCGGAACCAACTCCATCAGTATGGACGACTGCGTTTTCGGCGTGTATATACCCAGCTGGGTAGTCTCCGCTGAAAGCTGAGCACCTAGTTCCCCCGGAATACACCTGGACGTCTTTGGCATAAATGGTGCCATTTCCTGCTGCGTAAAAGCCATGGGAGACAGGGCCGGAACTATAGAGCCATGTGTTGTCGGCATAGGTTACGCTTCCAGTGCCGTATGTGTAGACGTTTGCTGCTCCATTATGCGTAGTAACGTTTACATTGGAGAGTCGCAGTGTCGAATGATTCGCATTGTTGACAGCTGCATTCACTCCTGCAAGAGTTAATCAAGAAAAGTTCAGAAAATCCAAGGGGCGCTGGAGAGCGTTACCATAGAAGCTCGCTTGATTGAGAGCAGAAGAATAGCCGAACTTGGTGATAGTGCTGTGGGTGATAGTGACGTCGGACCGATTCGCTATGACCACAACACTTGTGTCATTTGCTGTAGTTTCTAGTGACCGATGATCAATAGCCCCTGTTTGCTGATTATAGGTATAGGGACCAATGACAGGAATGGTTTGGTAAGCTTCTCCGGTCGTATGCCAGTCGAAAACATATGCGTTATCGTCTGCCCAGCCTTCAGGGGGAACTATATTGCTTGGATCCTCAATGATAA